AGAAACGAAAGCTTCTCCAGGGGGGCCATCAAACATCAAATGAAATTACTATCATGGAATGTCAAACATCAACCTGATGCTGGACACTCCACTTACCCACAAATTCTTTAAAGAACACCGAAGTGATGACTACATCCTATGGATTGAGAAGCTAAGCAATAAGAAAGGATATTGGCTTGAGATAAACAAGCTTGATAGCAATGGTGGTAAAAATAGACTTATGCTTACTTCCGGTGTAGGCAAGGAAGGATGAAAGGCTTTTTGCCACCTCATCCTTAACTATCCCACGACTAACAAACCAAAGACATCCAGCCTTTCTGCTAGGGATCTATCAGACCACTCCCCCCTCAACGGGACTCTCTCCTGGCTAAGCAGTCACCCACCCATCACTACCAAATCACAGACTCGCCCTCAAAATCGACACTAGTCCCATAAACCTTTGCTTGGAGCCGTTGGATAATATTACAACGTCAATCATTCCATGATGACTGGTACTCCATCCTTTGGGTCATACAAGAGACAGTGAGTGAATTATGCTCCATCAACCCTATTCACCTTGATAAAGCTCTCCTCAAATGCGAAGATGACAAACAAGCAACCGCACTCACCCACACTGACGGATGGCAACCCATTGCTCATTCAATCTACGTTTTCTTAGATGGAGCACGAGGAATATTAACTCAAACCGTAAGATTCCTTCCTACGGTGGATGGATCATAATCCGAGACCTTCCCCTTCATCTATGGAATGGTTCCATCATCCCCTACATTGGAGACAAGTGCGGGGGGTTCTTAGAAATCTCGAAGGTAGCTGCGAATCTCCGAGATATTATGGAACTGAAGATTAAGATTTTGAATAATGACTGTGGTTTCATATCGGCTACTGTCGAGATCCCATCAGACATTACCCAAGAAGATGATCTCCTCATCCATATTGATTCTTTCTTCAACACCAGCAATCTGATCGGAAATCGCATGCCTGTCGATAAGGTTCTGCGACAACCATACAAGACCACAGCCAGAACTGGCATTCCAAGATGTCGGAATCCAATCGACACCGCCCTGTCACAGGCCGTTGAGAAAGGACCCGAAAACCAAGAAGTTGGGCAAGATGTCTCTACAACATACGAGGTTCTGACAGGTGATATTGACCCTACACGAAAATCCCTGACCTCGACAAAAGGGAAAGCAAAAGTCATTGACCAACCTGCAGCCTCTGTCCCGCATCCCACTGTCATGGTACAAAAGCCATTAATTATCTATGAAGGTAGAGAACACGTGACTGTATAGGAAGCACCACCCATCCTCACTTTTTACAAAAACATAAACCTTGGTTTATCCAAGACAGTCCCATCCCCGATGATCCGATGACTTGGATTACTTTTCTAGCCCTCTTCCCAAGGACAACCCAATCCTACCTTTATGCATTATCCCAAACACACCTATTATACCCACCATCCTCTTTGGCGATATGCCATCCCCCGAGGCCACTAACACTCAACCTATTACCAAACCCACATCTACTCTGGCCACCACCCCAAACCTTCCCTTGCCAAACATAGCCATCACAGAAACTACTACCCTACGTCCACTGACCGGAGAACCTATCAGCATCGATTATAAGGATAAGGCACTGGAAAAAAAGGCYTCTTTTCACCAAATAGGCTCCAACACTATCTGGAAAATTATCTAAAGGATTCGGGCCTTTGCATAATGGCGATTCCATAGACGGGTTCCAAAACAAAGAAGCCACCCAAAGCGGGTAAACAAAATAGGAACCCGTGAGCTCAAGAATCGAGAAACGAAAGCTTCTCCAGGGTTGGGCTCTTGGAAAAAAAGAGCCCTCATAAAGCAATCTATCTCTCAACTAAATCCAAATGTGGTAATTCTTCAAGAAACTAAGCTCTCCTTTACGGACTCTCTCATTGTAAAGTCCCTGTGGAGTGCTCGTGGGATTAATTGGGTTGCTCTTGATGCATTTGGTACAGTTGGTGGAGTCCTCATCCTCTGGAACAACCCAGATTTCACTACCACATAAATTATAGGTGTTTTCTCCCTCACTATAAACTTTTGTCTTTCTGATGGCTTTTCCTTTTGGGTCTCAGGCATCTATGGCCCCTCTACTACAGATTTTCGCCACCTTTTCTGGCAGGAACTCCGTGATCTTTCTTATCGGTGTGAGAACCATTGGATCCTAGCCAGAGACTTCAATGTTTCAAGATGGTCTTGGGAGAAATCACATGGCAGACCCTTAACAAGGAGTATGCGGATTTTCAACACTTTTATTGAGGAGTCCAAGCCAGAAATCAAGCTAGAGAGGACCTTTTATCCATCACCGCCAAAGAGGAAACCTTTTGGAGGCAAAAGTGCAAACAGAAATGGCTTTGCGAGGGGGATGAAAATACCATGCTAACAAGAGGAGGAGTAATATCGCTGAAATTCTCTCACGGAAGGGGACTAGCTTGACATAGATCAAAGACATTGAAGAGGAATTCATTGATTTCTATCGGACACTCTGCACTCGAAGGATGATCAAAGATGCTAACTCCACAAACCTATCTTGGGATCCAATCTCCACATATCAATCTACCTTACTAGAACAACCTTTTTCGAAGGAAGAAATCATCAAGGCAGTACATAGCCTTGGCACAGATAAGGCACTGGGCTCGGACGGATTCACAGCTGAATTTTTTAAAAAGTCATGGAACATTATCAAAGATTACATAATGACAATGTTCCAAGACTTTTTTAAAAATGGAATTATCAATGCTGCTCTAAATGAGACTTACATTTGTCTCATCCCCAAACGGGAAGCAGCCAAAACCGTGCATGATTACAGACCGATCAGCCTCATCCCATGCGCCTACAAATTCTTGCAAGGGTTCTCTCCGAACGCCTAAAAAAGGTATTGCCTTTTACTATTACTAACCAACAATCAGCTTTTGTAGGAAGAAGACAAATTCTGGACTCCGGTCTCATTGCCAATGGAATTATCGATGATTGGAAAGCATGAAAATCTGATGGGGTTGTGATCCAACTCGACCTTGAGAAGGCTTTTGACATGGTTGTTTGGGATTTTCTGGATATGGTTCTAAAACGCAAAGGTTTTGGGAAGAAATGGAGGAAATGGATAAAGGCATGTATCTCCGCTACAAGTTTCTCCCTCATCATTAATGGGAAGCCGAGAGGAAAATTCACTGCCACTAGGGGATTGAGACAAGGGGACCCCCTTTCCCCTTTTCTTTTCATCCTCATTGCAAATGTTCTCAGCCGGCTGCTTCACCATGGACAACAACATGACCAACTCCAAGGCTATGCCTCTAGATGTGGTTTAATTAAGATTAACCATCTCCTTTTCGCAGATGATACTCTCATCTTCTCAAACAAGGATCTTTTCTACATCAAAAACCTCAACAAGATCATTAAGTTTTTTGAGATACATCGGGTCTCAACATCAACTACAACAAATCTAGTGTTTTTGGCATTT